CTCCTCGTTGTTTTTATTTAAAAAGTCATTACCCAAAAGAATTTGTGTAAGATTATGAGGAACCGCAGTCACAGTTAATTCAGCTTGCAAATCCTCAGTTTCCATGTGCACTTTAGCAAGTGGATGGACTAGATGACCTCTTGGAGGTCCCTTCCAGCCTTACATTTCTATGATTTTATGTAGCTGATGGAAAGAGAGAACAGGGACAAGCAAGTATGAAGGACACCCTTAAAGGTGAGTCATATTCTCTGAGCTTGAATGATCACTGCAAACACATCCCAAATATTATGTAGACGTTACAGTATCTCTCCATTCATTCCCTCCCAGAAACTAAAGGAACTCTTCTCTTGATCACTGAGCAAGCCTCCTTCCAGTAAGTGGGAGGGGAGGAGAGCCCCTCAAATCATCTACACAGGGACTCCTATAAATTGATATTAATTTACCTCTTCCTTCATCCCCAGAAAATGGTTTCGCTGACATTTCATTGGAGAGATACCACGTTTATTTTTCCTCCATGACTTCTAAGCAAATTTGCTCAGTTGGCAAGCAAAAAAAAATTTATTTCTAACAGCCAGTGCTACAAACTGGACGATTGATCAGTAAGTCATGCTGTACCCATTCTATATCTCTCACAGAAGCAGTACCCTGATCCAGATTGAGCTGGTACACAGAGATAAAGCATATTAGCACTTCTCTGAAACTGCTATCTTGTTCTTTAGAATCTCATCTTTCATTTAAAAAGCATTAACAAACAAACAAAAAATGTAATCCTCTAGCAATTATGGATGCAAAGAAAACTTCAAAAATTTTAACTGTGTAACTGATGCAGAGACATCTATGCAAATCCACAAAGAATAAAATAACTCAGAGGTGTGAACTGCCCCATTCATCTCACTAATATGTTAACTCCGATGCCTAAAGATGCTAATTTAAATACCAACATTGTTAATATTTTATTTCTTATGGACAGGGACGATCACAAATCTGCACAATTTAATGAGAGTGACATCTCATTTTCATCCAACTGAACAATGTTTTGGAGATATTGCCAGATATTTATTTTCCACGGTCAAGCCCAAGGAGCTCATAGACACATTCAAGCCACAACAACTGGGAACCAAGCAGAGTTCAGAAAGCACAGGCATATCTGCACAATCTACTCTGAGTAGTGTCCCATTATGGGATTCACATGGACAAAGCTTATTTTGTGAGTGGAATCTGGAAGAGTACCAACACCTTCCCCCCCGCAATTTGAAACCCTATCCGAAGGGTGTTTTACAGGGGTACTTACAGAGCTGTTAAGGTATGCATCACTGCTCCCCTTCACGTAAAGATTCCACAATTGTAAATTTGTTAGAAATTCTGTTGATGCACAAACCAATATAAAGCCAGTTCAGTATTCCATAGGGGTATATGCGCTGTATTGCTAAAGAATAATGGAGTTTGAGTTTTACTGAACTCAGTGCTCTGGAAGGGCATGAGATACCACTGGGCAACCTTAAATAACTTCATTAACACAGAGTTGTCAGTTAACAGTCAGTAAGGTAAGCACCTATATGACTCTGAATATACTCAGGAAGCAGATCTGTGAGAAAGAAGATGCTTATTTTTATTTAAAGCATAGTGATTTTTCAATCCGTAAGCACACTTTAAAAGGCTATGGGGAGGTCTCTGACATTGGTGATGAGAGAGGAGTCAACAAATCAGCCTGTTCAAAATTAATAAAGCATAGCCTCGATAGATCACTCTGCATATCACATAATAGCCATATGTTAAAAATCTAAACTGGACCTATGGGTTAGAAAGTTAAAAGACTTTGGTGATTTGTCATTTCCAGGGCTGCAATTTACAGAATAAAAGGTGCATATACATTAAGCTACTGACTCTTTTTTAGACCACCCAAGAAGCAGTAAAAGAATGACTCCTCATAAAGTGCTTGAGTCTTCATTACATACAGAACATTTTGAGTGGACTACACACATGTGCCAAAGCACGTTTACTGGGTTTTGCAGTAATACAGCAAGCTTTTTTTCCCCTTCCAGTATATACTGATAATGAAGGCTGGAATAACTAATATAATCAAACAATAAAACAATTGTTCAATATACTTTAGAAATATTCCAAAATAAAAATTGAATAGTTACACAACTTGCCCTACAGAGAATACTAAGGCTGGGTCTACACTACCCGCCTGAATCAGCGGGTAGAAATCGACCTCTCGGGGATCGATTTATCGCGTCCCCCGAATCGACGCTCTTACTCCACCAGCGGAGGTGGTAGTAAGCG